CTCTTTTACGTACATGGACTAACTGTGCTCTTGCGAATCGTGTTCCGAACCCAAAGTGTAATCGCCCTATGGGATTTGATAAGGGAAGTCTTTGTAAGTTTTTCCCTCAATAGAAATTTGAATTTACTGAAATTCTTCTTGAGGTCTTGAATGGTATAGCCTGTACTGGGTGATCGAGTGAACTATTTTCCTGGCAAACGTGAACAGGAATAATAAATCGTCAGGAGGTAATATTTCTCCTAAATGATGAGTCACGGTAATCCACTTGCTGTGCATTTCCGTAACTCAAAAATATTAGCCACGTAGTATACTTGGAACATTTTGCTTAAAATTTGTATGGCCAGTCAGCGCAGGTTTTAGTAATGCGATACAATTCATGATGTAATTCAAACTATCATCTTGTGACATGAGATAAAGCAAATGTAAATCAGTCAGAGCTGTTGCATATAAGGTCAAGAGTACGATAACACGGTCGTTGAAGCATGAGATACTGTCGAAAGTCATAAAGTTCACCCATTAAGTTTATAAAACCCCGGAAGTCAACGCATGACATCTATTCGCCAACCTGGCAGACGCAGGAGATTATAACGCGGATCTGCAAACCCAAAGCAGCTGAATGAACAGGCAATCACGCACATAAGCCTCCTCCGTGTAAGAGAGAGATATCTTACCTGTGGAATTGACTTTGTTCCTCGATGGTGAATGTTGTGGGGGCAGGTGCAGTTACCGCAAAACTCCATCGCTGTACTGTGGCTGTGGATAATTTAGCCAAGGAACCTTTGTGATTGAATGAATGAAATGTTGCGTATCATGGTCGGTAACAATCGGGTAGAGAGTATCAAATAAGTACCTGGGTATGTGCGTAACAACCCATTATAAAGCCAAAGTATCACATTGAGCTTTTGAATATCCGCAAAGTTCTCCAGATGTGGTAGGGGGACAGAGTATTGAAAAATAGAGAAAACCTATCAAAATTCAGAAAAGAAACAACATTCATCGTCTATTTAACCGAAACAAGGAAATTCAGATTTCCCTCAGTTACCGTCATTTGAACGGAATCTTTCCAGGAAATCATGTGTACGTTCACCGTGGAATTTATGTGGTGGGAGAATGAACAGTAATACCATCCTGGAAAACAGACACCTTGCTCCAATTTACACACTTTGAAGCTCGGTGACCAAAAGTGGACAATAGATTTTTGCGTTTCATACTTGGGCGGTTAGGTAAAGAATGTTGGCAGCACTATAAAAGAGGTAACAAAATGCACATCCAGGGTTCGAGATGGAGTGAACTACGTTTGATGTTCATGTGGCATCTGAAAGTTGGCATATATCTATATATATACATATATATAGATATCAAAAGTCCGCTGAGTTCTATTTCATTATTGTTGGACCTTGTGTGTGTGTGTGTGTGTGGAAAATATCCAACACCACTAGTGTTCAACCTCCAGTGCTTATTTAACTTATCAGGTTTGAAACGAGAAGAGCGGGCTGACAGAGACCGAGATATGTACGACAGATAACCAAATAATACTGTTGAATTATTATAAATGACTCTCCTTAGATCGAATGAATAAAGAGCCACATATAACTTCGGCTTTAATCAAAGGAAGAATTTTTTTCTCCCATACAAATTCAAGGCCAACCTTATGGTTTGTAATCAGTCGAGTATTAGGCTGTGTACCAACAATCATCGTACTGTCATTTGTTTTCTTGAGCAGTTCGACCGGAAAATCGTTGTCACAATGATCCCATGTACTTGACCATCGCTAGTTGCGTATGCATAGTGATCGTTTATCGTACTGTGATCTAGGTACAGCTGCCACTCAATGATGAAGGAAACCACATGGAAATAGCAACTGCGAGCATCTATTGTACTTCGCGTTGAGGTATAGAAAACCCCATAAATAGTTAAATGGAGAATACAGAAAGATACGAAAGCAAACTGTTCTGTTATCAATGCTGTTGTGTTGGCACCAAGCTTGCTCGCAAATCAGTGATATATGTGCATACATATCCATAAATGGTACTTTTTGCAAGGTTTATCCCAACGGATTATGCTCACATGCAACAGCAGATTAAGAGATAAAATAAAGATTAAATGTTAATGTACTGCATCTCACCCTCTCTCTCGTTGGAACTCACTTGACGTCTAGTTTGAGTCCAAATTTGTGTACAAT